AGCAGTAGTAGTAGTAGGAGCAGCAGCAGCAGCAGCAGCAGCAGCAGCAGCAGCGGCAGCAGCAGCAGCGGCCGGGATCTGTATCGTACACTCAAAGAAGAAAAACATAAATAATTGAGGTTTCTTTTATTGTCGGGGGTCCTTCATGTCCTGAGGTTCCCTCATGACACTTTCCAAGGGTTTCGGCTTCAACAGTCCCTTAAAAAACCGGGGGGTTATGTTGTCGCGGTTTTAATTTGCCGTGTAGATTTCTTCTAGGATTTAATGTTTAAGTTTGAATCCTTCTTTTGGGTTCCGTGCTGCTCAGATGTGATGGGATGAGGCTGCGACGGGACCGTGTGTCTACTACCTGAGTCTGCAGTTCAGGGCGCAAGTTTACGGCTCAGTTCAAAGACGTAAATCTTAGCCGCCGCACCCTACCAAAACCTACATGTTATTGATAAGGTTGTTACAACATTTATGCAAGCCAGGCTGCCGCTTCTTACGAAGGCACCTGCAAAAAAGTATGCCCAAGAAGGTTAAGGCTAAGGTCAAACCAGAAAACCTGAAGATTCGAGATGTTTTCCGGGTGTTCAGCGGAACATCTAAACTAGAGGAATGCATGGATGTGTATATGTATGTATGCATGTAGGTTGGTAATAACACAACCCTAAACCCTAAGCCGTTTCTCTTCTGTCCCCGAGGATGCAGCCGACGAACGCGCCGAGCCCACAAGGCGAAGCGGGCGCCCAGTGGGACTTCGACGGATTTATCTACTGCGCCTCGGCGGATTCAGGCTTTCTGCAAGGCTGCTCTTGGGTTTTTCAGATGTTTGGGAGAATTCTTGGGCTTGGGAGATTTCGGGCTCCTTGCGCCGTTTTGGGTTTTTTTCTGGGGCATCGAGGGTGTATGGTTTACGGAGTTTGTTTTCGGCTGCCGCCTGCCCCTGTAGTTCAATTTCGTCGCGGCCTTATTTGGAATTCCGGCCCTTGTGCGCCGGGATGGCAGAGACAGCAACAGCAAGTCACGCCCTAGGCCCTAGACTCTATTCCGGCAGACCCCTGCTCCAAAGCATGAAATTCGGGAGTCTGAAGTCTCAAGACCATCCTTGCTTACAGACTCAAAGAAAGCCAAAACCCTATGACTGCTGCGATGCTACACCTAGGATCCTTGGTAAATCTTGAATCCCGAATCATACTTTCTAGCCCTAGAGCCGAAACCCAAAAACCGTTGGAGACTTCAGGTGCCTACAACAACGGCGACGGAGTTTACGAGATTCTCGTTGAAGCTTGGTTTTCGAATCAGGTAAGACATGCGAGTTCAGGATAGCATGTGAGTCGGAGCAGTTACCAATATGATTCCACAAAGTTCCTTATCACCACTGTACGACTAGCGACTATATCATAGTATACTCGATTCCAAGAGTACATTGATCTGCTCTAAAGGGCTTTCGAGGGTTCAGGGCCTGGCGCAGGGCCCTACGGGAACTCAGGGTTTCGTGTGCAGGAGCCCTGAAGTACACGAAGTACCTTTTGGTTTTGACTGCCAGGTAGCAACAGGTTGCCCAAGAGGACAGGTCGTTCAGGTCGTTTCGCAGCTACCCTGCTTGGCACGGCAAAGGAAACCACTCTTACCCTAGATATCCATCGCCATAAACTCCAGGTCCTAGGCCTGTGACCTTAAATCCAATGCGCCGTCAATACGCAATCCTTTCCAGCATGCACCAGTCCACTCGTCAGTAGATTTACCATTATCGAAGCGACAACGATGATGGAGAATCCATCTTCGCAGTGAGTTTGGGGTTTGCGGGTTTGGGTTCAAGCATGTAGGGCATCCTTCATGGATGCCCCGGAACCTCAAAGTGAGTCTCTACAGTTTCAGGCTTCAGCCGTGAATGCATCTTCATCCTAAACTCCCCACTACAAGCCATATAAGCCCGAAGGTCACAACCCCATCACCCAAAGGCCCCAAATCCCTAAGCCCTAAACCAAACTCCAAACCGTGAAACCTTGAGCCCTGAAGCATATACGCTTTGAGACCCCACAGACCCAGAAACCCCAAAGCCCCAAACCATAAGAGTTAGACCCTAAACCCAGCCCCGACAAACCCAAGCTGGTTTTCCAAGAGCCCTGAAAAAAAGTGGCGCTCGGAATTCCTTAACGCCAAACTCAAACCCTACACCCTGAGGACGACGTGGATGTGCAGAGCTTGGCGCCTTGGACCCGAAGTCTCCAATAGAGAAGCCGGGAGACATGTTTAGCATCCTTGGGGTTCCTTATGGAAAGTAAGATCCTCTTGTAATTGTTGGGGCCCCTTTGTCACCTGTTTTTGTATTATGTTTCGTCAGATTGAATCAAGATTTTGGAGTTTTTGGTGGAGCTTGTGGAGTAGAGCTCGGTATGTCTTCTCGAACTCTAGCAGTGTAAATCCTTTGCGCCACTCCTGAACTCTATGCTGATTCCCAGGAGGTGCCCGTCACTCTCGTCAGCCAATCACAGGAGTTGATTGCCATCTCCAACGACGGTGCCTTGGCTTTTCCATGCTGGTTCCGAAGGTCTTGACAGCGTAGCGGCGTAGCGTCTATGAGACTCCTCCTCCTTCTCCTCCTCCAACAACAGCAACATCTACTAAGAATCATCATCATCATCTTCTTCCCACGCGGCAGAGGAGTCTCTGTCCTGCGGTCGCCATTACAGCTCTCTGAGTTCAGAGAGTCGGCCGATCGTGTCGGCAGGCACTAATGCCACTTATGGGCGGTCAGCAAAATGTCGCACCGTAGTGCCTTTTAAATAAATTGATTGTGCCAGATGCTTTACGATACTGGCAGAGCTTGCAGCTGCAAGCGCCTGTGTGTTGCACACCGGCGCCTTCATTCATCCAGAGAGTGCAGGTTGATACGAGCCGGAGTCGGAGCCTGGCTTAGGTTGGCCTTGATCACTCGATTCTGTCGTATTTCCATTTCCGTGGACTGGAGACGGGCATCGAGCATGTGGAGATCGTCTTTCAGCTCCGCATGCCCTGGCTGTAAGTTCTCGACCTGCCGCGTCAAGGCACTCAGCTGCGCCCGCACCAGATTCAGCTGAGATGTCAGCAGGGATACCCAATTGACGTCCTCCAGCTGTGGCGCGCTTGCGGGCTTGGAGCATGCCATGAGGGTCGGGCAAGAGGTTGGGGCTGCTACTGCTACAGGCAGGGGAGTTCAGTGCTGGATGTGGCAGCGCTGCACGGTCACAGTCATCACGGGCTACAAGCACAATGTATGCATTGGCACTGAGATGATTCAGCTGCGCACTCGTCATGAGCCGCGGGTTTTTGTCATCATCGATGAGCCAGTACTGGTCTTGCTGCATTGCCACCGTTGTGTAGTGGCCAGAGACGGGTGTGCTGCCATGATGTTGTATGTATGCAATGACTCGATAGGGCACCCATTCGACATCAATGCAGTAAGGATCCTTAAATTTAGGGATGTTAATGCGGGGCGTGCACATATGCATGGGTTTGCTTCTCAGGCCACTCCGGTGCGTGGTAATGGAACCTTGGCAATTGGAGGAAAAGCCACGGCGGCTCCGCTGTGAAAGCGTGTATAGCGCTCTGAGAGCACCACTGATTGACAAGCTCCTGTACCTCAAATGCTGGATGCTGAAGGTTGAGGGGGAGTGTGATGCATCTTTGGGCCCCTACTGGCGAAGTGTAGATAAGATCCCCCGGGGTTTGCTGGCGTGTTTCCCAGCTGCCTGGGATAGGCGATGCAAGCAAACGAGGCTGCAGAAAATCTACGATCTCTGCCACATCATGTTGCCTCTGGGGGTGAGACCACCCCAAAAGCCGCAGTCCCATCAGACGCGTTGCCGTGTGGGGCCGCTCTGATTTCACCCAGAAAACCTTCGGCAGTAGATGGCAGTGATTGGTAGCACGAGTCACAAGCCACATGCAATTGAGGAAGGAGTTGAGGTAGCAGCTGTTGGAACCCCCTTTGAAGCGGATGCAGGGCAATGCTAGGGGGCTGGCCATGGCATCTGTCGTGGCTGCAGTTGACGGGTCACCTTCATAGGTATGCATAGGTGATAATCTCGATGGTAGCGGAGCTGGGCTGATGGCTGAGGGCCGAGCTGTTGCCGGTGCTGGTAGAAGAGATTCGCCAACTGTTTGGCCGCCGGTGTCTGCGGCAGTGTATCTTTTTTCATCGAAACCCCGATGAGGTTCATGATGGCACTGCCGCACAGGCGTTCGAAACTGTGATACAGTTCCGCAGCTTCCTTGCCGCTGAGGGACACTTCGAGAGCGAAAGTCGCGATGTTGGCCCCCTGTTGTTCCAGCTTGGGCAGAGTCACAGTGGAGTTGAATCGCTGGATCGCTTCCCCGGTGAGATGCTCGAACAGGAAGGTCAGGATGCGGGTGGCCTCCGCATGCTGGAGGGGAGTCTTGTTGGTGTCGACCACCAGTCTCCGCTCGGCATGGTTCCATACCCGGTAAGTCCACTCGGAGTTGGCCGTGAGCCACTCCGCGGTCACCATCTTCTGCTTGTTGTCCTCGGTGGCCACGGCCTGTTGAGCCAGTTTGAGAAGTGCCCCGATCATGCTCGATAAGAGGACTGTGCGCAACGGTGAGCGGATGGTCGAGTTCTCCTGGGACTTCTTGTTGTTCCATTCCTTGGCCACGCTCATCAAGGCTCCTAGTGTGCCGTCCTCCCCCTGCTTCATGAACAAGACGAAGGCCTTGTCGTGTCTGAGCCGGCTGATGGTTTGCTCCTGTTGGAGAACAACCCGAGTTAAGAGCCGGAGTGGATCGTGCTGAGGCGGGGGTCGCTGAGGTCCGTAGGAGCTGCTGCCGAATGGTTGGCCTCGGTGTCCGTGGTAGTTCGATGGATGTCGTCCTGGCCAGTGTGGTTGCTGGTTGGGACGAGGGCGCTTCTGCGAGCGGTGGTCCGGACTGAGAGAGGCTGACGGACTCAAGAGAAACTCCGGAGCTTCCGGCCAACAGTTGGCGAATATCGCCGCCTCCTCGTTGAGCGCAAAGTCTGGATCGTGCCCTAGCATCCTTACAGTAGGTGACTGCGACACATGGTTGCACAGGAGGAGTGCATTGGCTGACATGTCTGCCTGGGGCTCCAACTTTGTGCCCACACCAGATGCACCCGCTGCCGCGCCGGAGCTGAGACTTAAAGCTGGCACACAGGGTGAGTGAGCGTGGCAAGAGGTCTGGTAGCTCATGTAAGTGTGCCCTGTTGAGGTGCTGCTTCATGTGTCTAAAGTCGGCAACCCAAAAGTGACACAAGACACAGTGTTGTGTGAGCTCGAGGCGGACAGCTGGTATGCTCAGCCACTTCTCCCATGAGTCAAGGCTATGCTGAAAGGCAGAGCGACGCACTAGTGGCAGATTGGCTGCATTTTCCTCTTCAATTAGTCCAAGCCCCGCCGTTGGGGGCTGCTTGATGTGGGCCGGGGCATGATCAGGTGGTAGAGGTGCTCGCACCTCGCTGTCACCTCCGAGGCACTTGCAGGCTCCAGATTCGATATGTGCAACTAGATGAGCCCACCTCCAGAATTGCCGCTTGCAAAGCTGGCAGGCAGGCATGCCTGCTTGCGAGTGCAGCTCAGGGCAGAAGACGGTGGGCGTACGGGTAGAGTGCTTAGGCACAGACTCATGCTTGAGTCCACAATGGACACGCATGGCGTTTTCGCTGACGAAGGTTTCCTGACAGTAGGGGCAGCTGACCGCGGGGGTTCGAGGCGGAAGCTTGGCCAGGCCTTCGGCCTCGCTCAGCAGGGTGGCCTCAAGCTTAGCGGCTTGGCGTTTGATGTGCTGCAGAACTGGTGAGGTTGTAGTGATGTCGGGTGCATGTTCAGCACGGTGCTCAAGCTTGACGATAAATTGTTGCTGGGTGTGCTGCAACGCCCAGCCAGGCATGGGGAGGTTCGCTTGTTGCCAGACCTCGCGCGTTGTTATGTGAGTGAGGTGTGACGGGATCCGGAGGATGGCTCTGAGATGGCGGGTTAAGGTGGTAGTTAAGGTGGCCAGAGTACTAGATGTAACCCCAACGATGTGCTGGGCATAGAACGCACTGGTGCATATGCATGCCTGCCACAGCCGCAGTCGGTGGTGAACGGCAAGATGGTGGGATCCATTCAGGAGTTTGCGCAGCCCCTGATACCTAACGGTGCAGGCTTTCAGTCTATGCTGCATGTTGCGCTGGTGCCGATGACGGTAGGTCACGATGGTGCCTAGGTACTCATGCTGGTCTTTGATAGGAATGCCGCATTCACGACCATGCACGCTAACCCTTAGGTGAAGCTGGCCCGCCTTCATGAAGGTGTGTTTCTGCTTCAGGCGTCGGGCGTCCTTGCCCACCAATTTGAGCAGGATTGCCGTTTTACTGTAGTTGATTGTCATGCTCAAGGTTTCAAGGGCTTCAAGAACGAGGGAGACATCAGCGATGGCTTGGTCCAGGTCTCGGGCACTACGTATCTCCCAGGCACCCCAGACGTCGTCGGCGAAGAGGGTGAGCACCTGCTGTACTGTAGTGGAGCTGTTGTATGATGGTAATGACATCCTGAGGGACTCCATGCTGTGCCATTGAGCTATAGATATGTGCACGGGTGACCCCATCGAAGGCTTTGGAGAGGTCCAGGGACAATCCTAAACCGCCTACTACCTCTCGTTCTTTACCGCCGGCCTGCTTCTGGAACCTGGTGCATTGGGTATCCTGCACCAGCTGGGCGACCGCCTCGAAATGCATGTGGGCTCTAAGGAGAGCATCCGCTGTACCCCTGCTCTTGGCATAGGCAAACTGAGGAGTCATGCGTAGGGCGGGTTCAAGTCCGCGAAGCAGGTGGTGTCGCAGGCTTCCTGCCAGTGCTTTGCTAGCCGGACTGGAGAGGCCGATGGGCCGAAGGGAGGTGACATCCAATTGAGGCTTGCCTGGTTTGGGGATCCATACGACGTAGCTGGACTTCCAGTCTTCATCCAATTCACCTGTGGTGCCTGGTTGCATGTGGTGACAGATGGCATGGCTCAGGATACAACCAAGGTCCTGTGAACACTGCTTCCACACAGCTGCTGGTGCAATGTGTCGTGGCACCGCCTTGGAGACGCCGAGCTTGCGTAGTTCTTGCGCAATGTCCTGGGCAGATATTTGCAGGGCTGTGGTTAGGGGTATGCGGGGGTGATCGTCGTCCTTGGCAGCGAAAGTTTCGTTGCCGTACGCAACGATGCGCTGCATTTGCTCTGGGCCAGACAGAACCGTCCGAGCCTCGAAGACGACAGGCAATGTTGCGGTTTTTCGGGGAGAGGCGTTTAATGATGAGGAAAAGGCTGCGTTGGTCGTTGTGATTAGCAGCTTGTTCGGCCTGGTCCACCTGAGACTCATAGAACTGCTTCTTCAGATAATGGCTTTGCTTGCGAAGAATCTTTGAGGCTCGGGCGAAAGCCGCAGCCAGCTTCCACTTCTCGAAGATTGCTCGCGGCGTGCAAACTCGAGGCTGCTTGAGGTTGCGATACATATGCCAGACAGATCTTGCTGTGACTCGGAAGGCAGGCTGAGCACTCACACGATTGTCAGCAGGTGGCTGCTTCGGAAAAGCTGCGGCAGCCGCCTCAAGCAAAATGCGATTGACGTGTCGATGGACACTCACCAGGTTTGTGGTATCCACTTGCTGGAGCTGCACGGCAATGCATGCTTGCATCTGTTGCGCCTCCGGGGTGTTGCGGCAGACGGCAGTCTGCAGCGCAGGGAGGTCAATCGGCGGCGTGGCAGGGCCGTCCTGCGACGGCGGCTTGTGATACGATTGCATTGGTAGCTGAGCGCGAACGGGATAGTGCCCGGACAGCCTACTGCCTCCTACGGGAAATGTGTGATCTGAATAGGCACGTTTAGCTTGCAGATGTGCGGTACGCTGCCGGGTGATGATGAAGTCGATCTGGGTGCTCCCTTGAGGGGAGTAAAATGTGCAAGCTTTTCTGTTGTGCCAGGTATTCAGCACGCACAGGGAGTGCTTTTGCAGAAGCTCAGATAGATCCGAGTTAGGTTGAGTGGCACTGGTGGGGACCGAACAGCCTACTGTGGTGGAGTCGGGGCGAACTGTGGAATTGAAGTCGCCGCATATCAACAGGTGATGCCGTTGGGGGATCGAAAGAAGATGCTGATCTAGTTGCTGCCACAGGCTTCGACGAAGCTCCAGGTTCCGGGCTGTGGGGAGGTTACTGCGCCATCCGTGTTGATAAAGACCGATGATGCTTACAGGGAGCTGGGTGAGCTTGGAGGTCGCCTGGACCAGAGCTAACCGTCCCGGCACGATGTCAAGAATGCGTGGGTCCTGGAAGCGCCGGCGGTGGAGTAAAAAGAGGATGCCGGAGCACCTGCCATGTTCATGTGACATGTGACGCCCTGATGTATGCATAGCGAGCCACTGTCCTGTACAGAAATCGGAAGTGTCATGCCAATGGGTCTCCTGGATGATGATTGCATCTAAGTCAGCCTGTACATCACACCACGCCATAAGTTCCTGAAACATTGCCGAAGATAAACCACTAGCATTCCAGGAAAAAACCCGAAGGTGGGGAGTGAGCCTGCGCCCTCGGGGCGGCTGGGGCTGCACGCGCCTGGGATTATTTCGAAGCGGTTCAGAGAGACGACCTAATGACTCAGTGGTATGCCATCGACCTCTATACCATGTGCCTTGGTTGAGAGATGATCTAGCACGATTCTGGGCTCGTCGGAAGGCTCTCTTAACTGAACGTGTGAATGAGCTGGCGGGAGGCTGCAGTGTTGGTGCTGACCACCGAGAAGGCGATGATCCACGTTGCTTCCTCACCGTGTTCACGGTGAGTCCCCCTCCTGACGTGGAGTCAGAAGGAACCCTCACCCCACCTGCCTGTGCTAGCATGCTGATGCATACAGTCTTGAAGAGGCAGGATCCGGATTTGGGACCGGATTGGTTCACAGGAGAATTTGTGTGACGCGCTACTGGGTGCCACTGGGGGGCTGCTGCTAGCTTGGGTCTACGTTTAAGGATGCTCAGTTCCGTTTGGGGGCCTGTCTGGGGAGGCTTCTATGTGGGGGTCAGGGGATGGCTTATGGGGTCGGTGCTTAGGGCTAGGGTGACTAGGGCCGTAGGGATGTAGGGTAGGGATATGCTGAAAGCGGCATGTGCAGAGGCTCCTTGGGCGGGCCAGAGGTAGTGCAGGACAGCCCAGTTCAGGATGCCGGCGGACCTCTGCGTGGGCGCCTCTCATGGGTCGCCTGAAACTCCCAGTTAGACCAGTGCTGGCGACGCTCGGCCGTGAGGTGCTGGTGCGCCATCTGCTGTACCACGTGCCACGGAGCGCCCATGAGCTTGCGTCGGAGCGCTCCGACCCTCGCTCCCTGGGATCTGCTAGTGAGCTCTGGTTGGCTTGCCAGCAATTCCATCCGATATTGGCCGCATAGTACCCCCTTAGCTTCATCCAAGCTTGGACCACCCAAGGCCAAGCTTGTCTCCGACCATGTGAGGGAGTTAAGCGAGGCCGCAGCTTCAGAGTCAGAGCTTGAAAGGTTGACAGAGAGCTGCTGTCTGAGGACGCCTCAAACCTTCCGTTAGGTAAGGGTGGCCCTTGCACCCTTTCATAAAACCTGCAGCCGCTTTCGAACACTTCCAACGTGGGCCATCTGCGGGCTGGGTCCGAGTCCTCATCGCTGGGCATGGCAGCAGGGGGCGTGGAAGTCGCTGTCGAGGGTTCGACACGGGTTGCTTCGGTTCCAGGATGCATGGGTCGCGGCGGTGGTGGTCCTTTCGGAGGTCCTGGCTGTGGCGGTGCTCCACGTCCATGGTCATGTGGGGTTGCTTCCATTCTGCTTTCAAGGTCCTCAAGTTCTGAAAGCGTAGCCCCATCGTCAGCATCAGTACCAGTACTAGTGGCCATGGCTGCATGCGGACGGTGTCACCGAAAGACCCCCGGGTCTCGGACCAGAGCCGAAGCCAGCCCCGAAGAAAAGCCGGGCCTCACAAGTCCCCAAAAGGAAGCAGACAAGACCCGGGCCTCTCCTGTGAGCCACGGGGCTTCATCATCATCATCATCATCATCTACTGCTACTGCTGCTACTACTACTACTACTACTACTACTGCTGCCGCTGCTGCTACTGCTGCCGCTACTGCTACTGCTACTGCTACTGCTACTGCCACTGCTACTGCTACTGCTGCTGCTGCTACTACTACTACTGCTTCTACTGCTACTACTGCTTCTACTGCTACTACTACCACAACAACTCAACAACAACGAAAACAACAACAACTACTACTACTACTACTACTACTACGACGACGACGACTACTACCACTACGACGAGCACGACGACGACAACTACTACTGGTACTACCACTACCACTACTGCTACTTACTACCCACTACGACTACCCCCACCGCCACCGCAACCGCCACCGCCACCCCACCACCACCGCCGCCGCCGCCACCGCCGCCACCGCCGCCGCCGCCGCCGCCACCGCCACCGCCAACGCCACCACCAACCGCCACCGCCACCGCTACCCGCACCGCCACCGCCACTCCCACTGCCGCCGACACCACCACCACCACCAACACCACCACGACCGCTACCGCTACCACTACCGCTACCACTACCACGACCACTACCACTACCACGACTACCTTTACTCTCACTGCGAATACGACGACTACTCCTACGCCTACGCCGACGCCTGCGTCTGCTCCTTCCCCACTCTACTCCGACTCCTACTCTTATTCGCACTCCTACTCCTCCTACTCCTGCTGCTGCTACTCCTGCTCTGCTCCTGCTTTTGCTCCTGCTCCTTCTCTTGCTGCTCCTCCTGCTGCTGCTGCTGCTGCTCCTGCTACTGCTGCTGCTACAGCGACTGCTACTGCTACTGCTACTGCTGCTGCTGCTGCTGCTCCCGCTCCTGCTCCTGCTCCCGCTCCTGCTCGCGCTCCTGCTCCTGTTACTGCTCCTGCTAATGCTACTGCTACTGCTACTTCTACTGCTACCGCTACTGCTACTGTTGCTACTGGTACCGCCAGTGCTCCTCATCATCGCCACCAGTGCCACCAGCAGTGCACTCAAAATCATGATCATAAACACCATCGCGCAGTTTCTCTTGATCTTCCTGCAAGCATCTGTACTAGCTGCAGCACAGCCGCTCCTACTACCACGCTTGCCACCACCACCGTGCCGGTCGCGTCCGAAAGGTCTGAACTGCATCACCGTGGAGCCACCATTCACCACCACCTCGACCACCAGCACCACCACGACGGTGGCGGGCTCGGATCCAGGGTTTCTTTTGATGTTTTCGAAGTTGTCAAGGCTTTTGTGGCCTTGGTTTCGGGCTTTCTTGGCTTGTACAGGTGATGTTGAAGCCTAAACTAATGAATAGGGTCCCTAAACTCTAAGCTTTGAGGGTTGAGCTTGAGTCTTTCTTCGCGCGTTGGACCGTGTGAGGGATCGCAGCACACAGGGCGAAGGGCTTAGGACCTCAGGATTCGTAGGGTTTAGGGGGTCTAGAGTTTAGCGGTTAAGGGCCTTAAGGGTTGAGAGTGGGGGTTTAGGGCTTATAAGCCTACTTCAGGATTCAGGAGTTGATGGGTCTAAAAGGGCTCCAGAGCCGAAGACTAAAGCGCCACCCCCACAAAACAACCTGAAAAGTGTTGGCCAGTGCCTACAGGGCATGAACCAGAGCTCAATTGTCCATGTCTGGTGACATGACGTGCGCCTGTAGCTGTCCTCATTCTCGTGAGTTTGCTCCCATCAGAACTGCCGCATTTCCACACAACTCCGAGACAGCTCTACACAATGCGAACCGCCAGAGCTCCAACATGAACGGGCAACCTTAAGTGATATACCACGAAGCGCGCTAAGCACACCACAAAATGCCTTAAGTTGTTTCTGAATCCCCAAATCGTCAGTCCTCGGATCCCAAATATTCTGATCCTGGAAACATCAAACTTTGAGGTCATCATCGAAGCGTGCTTCAACGACCCCTTCGATTGTACGGACACGGGCCGCTACGCTAAATATGGAAGAATGGTAGAGTTTTGCTGTTTTGCTTGTGTGGGAATTGTGAGGGACTTCGGGGCTGTTAGGCTTCCCTCCGTGTGGGGTTTGCAGGTTTAAGCTTCATGGGTTTCGAGGAATCAAATACGGGATCCCCATTATACATGTAGAAGACGACACCCCAACACCGGGTTCTCGTTACTACGTGCAACTATATTAAGCTCCTACGCTATCCCGAATCCCAAAATCCCAAACGTTTCGTGCAGGAAGAAGCCAATCATTTGTCAAAAGAGGTCTTAAAACCCCGACAAGCCCCAAATCCATGTCAAAGGAGAGGCCCAAAGCCCTTGTCAAAAAACGAAGCGCTCAACCTGATGGAAACATCCCGAAAACCGGTTTGACCCGAATCCTGTCTTTGCAGCCAGGAGCCCTAACCTGGCAGGGAAAGACGCCTTCAGCGGTTTTCACCATGAGCCTGGAGACCCAAAGCATCTGACAGCTTTCTGCAAAAGGAAACCAGCCACATGCTGCAAGAAGCACTGTACTGAGCTCTCCGCCTCTCCTATACCGAAAGAAGAAGGGACTTAAATCCTGACCCCGTCGCCTTCTTGTCTCAACAACAGGAAGGGGCCGACACCCAAACTCGAGACTCTAAGCTTTGCGCCCCCAAACCCTAGACTTCTTTTGAAAGTGCTCCAGAGATGCCCCGTCCGAAATCTCTACTAAACCTTATACCTTAGACTCATATCCTTTGCAATACCGCAAATAGTAATCCTCACAGTAGGCCGTAGGTGTCTCGTACCGGTGGCCGCTGACCAGCGACCAGCGCCCAGCAGAGATTTTGAGGCTCAACGCGGCTCGCTAATATATGTGGTTTCAACGAGGGGTAAGAGTACTTGTATATAGAGTTGTATTTTCTGGGGGCTATAGGGTATCGTAAGGTGTTATAGGGTTTCTTGCACCGCTGTGGACAAGCAGACGTGTATCTGAGTGAGCAAGGAAGCAACATGAGTGCACGAATCGGAGGAAGTTTTGTGTCCAGGGCTTTCGGGTTTCGAGTCTATGCCTGCTGACATAGTCTTGGGCAAACCTCAGGTGCCAGCATGTGACTCCCGTTCCCGAGCAGGTTTTGAAAAATTGCTGCAGCACCGGACCAGAAGCATAATTCTCAAACGCGACGCCAAAATCCTAAATCCAGAACGGCTTTAAACCAAGCGTGATTTGTCTTCTCGTATGTTAGAAGGGCTTCACGGAAGAAAGAGGTTTATGGATCGAATCCGAACCCAAGGTCGGTGCCAACAGCTACTCGCACCTTGGCCTGCTCTGGCTTTGGGTGCTCGTGGGCTTTGAGGTTTATAGGCGTCAAAAGTTTAGCGATTGAGCCTCGCATTCCTGTTTCCTCGCTGCCCAGGATCGTCGAACATTCGGAGTGAGCTTTCATGGTCAGGCCTGTGTGCTGCGATGCCTCTCAAGTGGCTCAAGTTTTTTAGGAGGGTTTCTTTAGCAGTGCCATGGCTCTGGAAGATAGTGTTTACGTCATTTGTGAAGGGAGCTCGGGGCCCTTATCCATCTGTGGTTGGGTGGTGAGTCTGCCTGGGGACGACGCCGTGGTGGGCACTTCTACCAAGGCGACTGCAGGTTTGGCCCACACGGCTAAGGCCAAGCAAGGCGAGCACGAGATTTCTTTTGTGCGAGTGCCGCTTAGTGCTGTGACCGAGCAGCCACCCTCCGAATGGAAAGGGGTCAAGCCCCGAGACCTGCCGCCTTCGAAAGCGTGCGTTGCAGCCTGGAAGACACTGGGGCAGGGCGGCACCGAGTTGGAAAGCAGTGGGGCCGAGATGCCTCGCACGAGCAAGGCTCCCGGCCGCGCTCGTCGGTCTCTGAAGGAAGACCTAAAGGACCTCCAGGGACTTTGGGACGACGAGGAAGGCGACGAAGACGAGACCGACGACGAGGACGACGCCCGGCCATCGACCCGACCAAGGGGCAGTTCGATGCTAGCTCCTGGTGCCAAGAACAAGGACAGCGACCGCCGCGAGAAGGAGCGAGACGAGGACGACCTCGACCTGCGCAAGCTGGTTCGCAAGGGGCTGGCTTCCGGCCAAAGCCCGAACGACCTCATGCCGCTGTTCATGATGTCCCTTGCCCTGGACAAGAGCGAGGGCAGGAAGAAGAAGAAGAGCAAGGAGGCGAGCCGAGACCTCAACCTCCTTGGTTTTTTTCCGACTCCGACGGCAGCAGTGGCGACGAGGCAGGGCGCTTAGGAAAAGGGATGCAGGCTGTTGCTACGCTTCACCGCCTCCACGAGAGTATCCGCAAGCGGCCTCGGCGCATCATCATGCAGCAGTTCGAGGCCGAGGTGGCGCGCGAGCTCGGGGTTATTCCGGGCCAGCCGTGGACTCTGAACGACTGGGTCCGCCGACAAAGCTGGGGTCCGAAGCCGCAGCCACAAGACGCAGATGTGCAGTTGGTGGCGAAGGCGGAGCGGGCGTACTTAGAGGCAAAGTTGCAGAGGGCCGTGCATAAGGAGTTCAGATTTGAGACCGTTTTCAAGGCGTGGGGGGCGGAGATCGACGGCGTGGCCGGGAGGGTCGGTGCTCCCCTGGCTACCCGCAGGCAGGTCTGGATGCTTTTGCAAAGGATTGTCACCGGCGGGTGGGCAAGCTGTGATGTGCTGCGGCAGGTGCTGGGCAACCTGGCCTACATTTTCCAGTACCGCCGGGAGCTCTACTCATTGCAGCATCGCATTTACAAGTTTGTGTCGGAGATGCCCGGGGACAGGTGGTGCAAGCTCCCCGACTTTGTGCTCGACGAGATCCGGTCCTGTGCCTTACATCTGCCCTTTGCTGTTTGCTCCATGCGTCGGCGGGTCTCGACCACACTGCTTGCGACAGATGCGACGCCCTCCTCGGGCGGGGCGGTTGTCACTGAAGTGCCCGGGGCCTTGGCCGAGGAGCTTTGGAGACAGAGCGAAATGAAAGGGGAGGCGGTTCGTCTCGACAGAGGCCGGGATGAAGCCCTGGATGTGGAAGAACCGAAGGTCCCTTCGGTGTTCGCGAGCACCGTGGGGGAGTGCCTACCTTGGCGTGTTACAGCCTCCTACCATTCTCGCGAAACCTCACATGTCAACCTCCAAGAGCTCAGGGCCTGGCGCAGGGAGATGATGAAGATTGCCGCGCGAGGCGACCACAAAGGATGTATCGTGGTAGCTCTCAATGACTCTCGTGTTGTGGTTGGTGCTGTGGGAAAGGGGCGATCGTCCAGCTTCCGGCTCAACAATTTGTTGCGAGGCGCCCTCCCGCACATGATCCTTGGAGGCCTCAGTGGAGCTTTGTTGTGGATCGAAACTGCAGCCAACCCAGCGGATTATCCCTCGAGATTTCGAGCTCTTCCTCCTCCTCGGCGTGTTCCAGGCTGGCTCTTGAACTTTGGCATCAAAGAACGGGTCCCTCTCTGTGGCCGTGAGGTTTGTGTTCGAGAGGCCCGCGCGACCCAGGCGCACTCCGAAGCAGGTTTGGAAATGAGTGAGCCCGTTGACCTGATCGAGGCGGTGGACTTGCAAATTGCGACGCTCTTCGAGGAGGTGACCAATGGTCTGGTGAGGTGGGTGTGGCTCGAGCCCTTTGGTCTGAGCTTCGCGGCCAGAAGACACTTTACACAGGTTGGTCCGCAGGGACCTAGCAGCCGGCCGGTGGTCGACGAATGGCGACTGCAGGCTGGGTTCGTGGAGCATGCGTGGGACCTCTGTTTGCAGCTCGCTTGGGCTGCCCTACAAGCAGGTGGCTACTTTGGGCCCTCGTCGCAGCAAGGCTTGGGGCTCAGAAGGGACACAAGAGCTGGCTACGCAAGGTGGTGTTACACTTTTGATGGTTGGTTGCTCCCACGGTGTCGACTCAGGGTGCACGCCTGCCCCGTGGCTCTCTATGCGTGTGCTCACCAATGCTCCTTGGGCCCAAGACATCAAGCGAGAGCTCCGTCTACTTCGGTGTGGGGAAACAAGTGCAGGGGACACGGGGAAAGGGTTCGGAGAGTGCTCGGCCCAGCTCAGCCGTACGTTGGCATATGCCTGCGTACGGTGGGCGGCTGCGCAATGCTAATCTGACACCGGCCTATCGCCGGGGACTGCGGGCGGCGGCGCAATGGCTCTTTGACTTGGCTGCTAGTTTGGGAGGAAAGTTGACACGTAGCACGCCACCGCCTGTGATTGACCGGGTCCTTGAACGCTGCGTAGATGAGGCCTACCAACGAGGGGAGAAACTTTACTTTGTCAGGCTGGGGCTCATTGGTTTGCAACGTGCATGGCACCTTTCGGGCCCCCTACTCAGAGGGTCTTGAGCGGCTATTCGTGGGTTGAGGGTGCTACAACCTATTCGCTCGAGGGTCCCTATGTCACGTTCGGTGCTGCGAGCCCTTCTGGTTACCCTGTTGGCTTCGGGCAACGCTTGTGCAGGCTACACTCGAGAGAGCTATTGGGCGACTATGTTGGCGGCTTGGCTCAGTTTCGAAGCTCTCCTCAGGCCAGGTGAGACCGCCGCCTTGAGGGTTTCCGATCTGACGTTCCCGGACGGCACCCCTGAGGACGAGGAGGCAGGTGGCTTAGTGGTCACCATCAGGAAGCCGAAGACCAGGCGCTTGTGGCAGACCCAGTTTGTTCTTGTCAAGAGCCCGGCTCTGATCAAGTGGCTGGCTTGGTGGACGGCAGACATGCAAGGAGACCGCCTCCTTTTCAGGGTGGCCCGGCGGCGGTGGGCCCGCCTCTTTGCAGAAGGTCTGGCCCGGCTGCACCTGGGTGACCGAGGCTTCACGTTAGGCAGCCTGCGTTCGGGAGGCGCTACCTGGCACTTCAGGACCTACGAGAACTTGCCTAAGCTTCAGTACCTGGGTCGATGGGCACGTGCCGACACTTTGAAGTATTACCTACATGAGGCCTTGACGATCAAAGTCGATGCAGAAGGGAAGCCAGAGTCCAAGGTTGCCGTGCAACTGGCTTTGCAACATGCAGACAGACTTGAGCTTCCCCCTTGTCGACCGTTGTTGGCTCTAGTTCGGCAGGCTTCTTAGGATGCCCTCCAGGATCTCTTCGGCTTTGCGCGAGCTGGCTGCTGCCTTGGAGAACTCGGAGTGGGACGTGGTGGGGAGCCCTACTACCTCGCCGCCGGCTTCCACCTAAAGGCAAGGGAGCGGCTCAGGCTCGCGAGCCAAACTCAGCGAGCTCCTCTAGTGCAGCAAGTGGTGCCTGTGTCACTGGGCCAAAAGCGAGAGCGGCGGCGACGCGTGCCTCCGCGCAGACCCGGCCAACACCGTCGAGCCCCAGCGAGGAGGCCCAGAAGGAAGTTTCTGGATCTACTGTGGCCTATCGACAGGACTGGCGTATCTACGTGGTGGTCGCGAACCCAAAGCAGCCGGAGCGCGTCGGAGTGGCGCAAGGCCCGGGCGGTGACACATAGCGGCGGCTGGAGAAAACGCTCCCCGGAGGGCGGTTATCAGGCTCAGCCGTGCGACTCCGCCGCATGGAGAGCTTGCAGCACGCACGGCGTCTCTGGAACGAAGCACACCCCGGCCTGGAGATGCCGGAGCTGGAGATTTGAAGGGAGCGGCCGAGGCTATTATGACAGCGGTGGGCTCAGCTGCGGATCAGTTGGGAACTGCTGAAGTGGATGCAGGCCGCACGGCAGCCGAAATCTTGGGAGATGAAGCTTCGCGTGCCTCCGCAGCACGTTGGCGCTCAGGCAGTGTCCATCGCCGCTTGACGGCGACGCTGGCAAGGCTGATGACATCGTTGCAGCAGTGGACTTCGTTAACGCCTGCGGCGCCTCGCCAGGGTACCCTGGCGCCAGTGCAGCCACGGCCTCTACGAGCGGCTCCTTCAAGCTCCCCGTCGTTGCAGACGCCAGCTCAAGCTCGGGGGCCGTGGGGCAGTGCCAGCCTTAACTGGCACCGCGCGTGGTGGTGGGGAACTCTGGCTCTACTGGTGATGATGTGCCTTTTTCCTCGGATAGTGGCGCTCTTCGTGGCCATGGTGGTGCGCCTAGTTCTCCGTGGGTGCTTTGTTCTGGCGAGCCATGTCATCAAGGAGCTGTGTGCGCAAACTTTTACTCTAGCAGGTGAGCTGGAGGCCCACATGGTGGATTGGCTCTCTGGCCAACTCAGCTTGCGCACCGCACAGCCTCAGCTACCGCCGAACTTCGCAGTCCCTCCAGCCGGCCACGACCCGCACAACAACAACAACAACTTCGCTGGACCTCCTGCTCAGGTTGCCCTCCCTGCCCGGCCCTTGGATTTTGTTACGTGGGTGCTCCTTGCCTGCAACATTTACCAGCAGCGCCAGCAAGGTGGGGTGGGGGTTCAACGAGGATGACTTCGTGGCCAGTACGAAGAGGTTTGCTGCCTTTCGAGGCAGTTTTTGACTTTCTGATGCCGCGGCTTTGCCTTGCATCCGGATTTCTTGTGAACTCGATTGGTGCCCTCAGCCAAAAAGAGTGCGACTTGCTTCGGAAGCAGCTCAGAGGCCAGGGGAAGGAGGGAATGAGCCTCGCATTCCTGTTTCCTCGCTGCCCAGGATCGTCGAACATTCGGAGTGAGCTTTCATGGTCAGGCCTGTGTGCTGCGATGCCTCTCAAGTCTTTTCCACCACCTCCCCTCCACCTCAACGAGGATGACTTCGTGGCCAGTACGAAGAGGTTTGCTGCCTTTTGAGGCAGTTTTTGACTTTCTGATGCCGCGGCTTTGCCTTGCATCCGGATTTCTTGTGAACTCGATTGGTGCCCTCAGCCAAAAAGAGTGCGACTTGCTTCGGAAGCAGCTCAGAGGCCAGGGGAAGGAGGGAATTAGGGTTTAGGGGTCTAGAGTTTGGCGCTTTAGGGTTTAAGGGTTTTAGGGGTTATAAGCTATAGGGGTTTAAGGTATTGGGTGTGAGGGTTACTTCACTTGGATTGGAGGCCTATACGGTCGGGGGCGTCAATAAAGGGGCCAGAAAAATGAGAGCAGGGCTTTGTGTATTATGTAAATAACCAGGAACCCTAAGGAATAAAGTTGGTAATTATTCAGGCTTCTCTATTGGGAGGTAGCTGGGGGACGTATGTAAATGGGTTCTAGGGAGGTCCTGACGTGTTTTGGGCTTTGGATCCCCAGAAAACATCCAAGACACCCTCAAAGCCTCGAAGCTGGCACCTTGAACCGCAAAGCTTCCAAAACCCCCGAAACCGTAAACTCCAAAGCCCTCCCGAGACAAGCTTACTATTCCAGGGACTAAAAGGGGCTAGCATTACGCATTCTTCCGGCTTCTATATTACAGTGATGTGATTCTTCGTAGGAAGCCCTATTTCGGAGAACTGGCCACACGTTCTAAAGACTTTAAGCCCTCCTAGAACAAGGACCTGCCGCCCTAAACCCTAAACCCTAAGTTCGGGGGTCTTGGTTTCGGTAATCGCCGCATACCACATATTTTGAAGCCGAGCCCGAGCCGTCTCAGGGAAGCCCTCTACTCCCACAAGCCCTACAAAGTAGCTCCTAAATCCCTAAAAGGCGCCCCATAACGGTTCGGGTTTAGGATTTAGTGTTTTGTAGGGCCCTTACAGGAACCTTTTTTAGTAACCCTTGTAGGACGCCCGTGTGTCGAGGATCGTTTGCAACTTCCCGGACAACACCAACCTTCAACTCGAGGCCTGCGGCATCAACCCTGTCGCGCCTTGGAGAAAAGAGTATAGGGACTAGGTCTTGCGGTTTAGGATTGAGTTTAGTTTTTAAATTTTTGGGGTTTAGGATTTAAGCTTTAAGTTTGAGGGTAGAGCTGCAGGGTGTTATGTAGCAGGAGGCTCGAAGATCTTTGGCAACATTTAGACACACCCCATATTAAATTGCTTACGATCTTGAAGGTGCTTGGGAGCAGTGGTGCCATGAGCCCAAAGCCCCTCCCCCCAAAAAAAAGCGTCGGTGTTGCGGGAATCGGGCGGTTAGGGATGCAAGCTTCACAGAAAGCCCCAAACCCCGAGAACAAGCTCAGATTATACGCTAAACAACCCCAAACCCAATACCCTAAAAACCCAATTACCCTGATCCATTACCCAAAACCCTATTACCGGTCAAGGGGAGTTTTCTTGAGCCGGACCATGGGCCGCAAAGTCAAGGCTTCTTGAAGCCCCCCAACCCCTTTCTTGAGGGTTTTGAAGAAACAGGGGTACCCGAAACCCTAAAACCCTGCAGGACAGCACCATCTACTGCACCGAGCAGCAAGGCTCAAACCGCGCCTCATCGTGAAAGAGACGGGGTCTTCAGGGGTTCTCTGAACCCTATATAAACCTTAAAGTCTTAAAGGCCCGAAGCCCTAAAGCCCCCGCCGAAAAGCTTGTCCATGCTTCTAGGTTCCGAGACTCAGGGAGCCCGGGTAGGGTGGGCAGCTAGGGGGCATGAAGAATTTGTTCATCATGTTCCCTAGGGTTCACGCATGCAATTATACTGGAACATAGGCCAGGGCCTTATTCTACTCATTACTTTACGCCCTTACACTAGATTTTTCAGGCCTGCATGAGCTCCGGCTGAAGCATGAATCCGCCAGCCCGTGTTCATCAGCACGGGCTTGTGAACCACGGCCACTAGGGTCTATGGTGTTGCGCTTTTGCAACCGAGGAAATCTTCTGCGAGTCACGTGTCCAACCGATGGAAGTGGCTTCGGTATCATTGAGAGGGTCGTGAGGCTGCCCGAATATTCAGGGCTCATACTTTGGGGGTTTGAGCAGGTAAGGAGGTCGCTGTGGGTTTAGGCAGGCTTCACGCAAAGGTCCGAGAGTTCCATTCAGCCAGCCACTCGGACTACTCCTCATCATCTTTGGACGCGGTTTTTGAGGTGCTTCTGCTGATCAGATTTTGTGGGGAGATCGGCCGGATCCGCTCGGGGCTTCGAATTTCGACATTGCAATTGAGGCTCCGTCACTCGTGCTACCTTGCTTGCAGAACCATCCTCTCCGAGCCATGGAAAATCGCAACGCTTTCGAAGCTTCGGAAGGGACAGCAGGTCATTGACAAGTTTGCCGATTGTCTTCTCCATGCCCTCGAGATCGCAGTGGCGATCAGTCTCACTTTTGCTTCTCAACATACATTTGTAGTCGTCATCATGGTGCTCATCCAAGCAACTCTCTCTCTCTCTCTATATATATATATGGTAGTTGATCTAAAGCTCCTTGTGGCATAAACTATATGAAACGACAACTGCATATCTAAATATGCCTTCGCGAAAGGTTTGCGATGGTTTTGTTAGAGTTAGTTTTGTCTGCGAACGTTATCTGTTGAGCCTACTTGTCGCATTATTGTTACTATGACTGCTGCTATATAACTATAATAACAACAACAACTACAACTACGACTA